TTTCAAAAATTAGGCCCTTATAAATAAATATTTTTAAGTTAGGCCCTCATTCATAATTATTTTCAAATTTGGGCCCCAATATGTAATTTCCCCTTAATTTTATCTAGTTTAGTCTATTAAACTTAATTGCAGTATTATTGAACCAACAAATTATACTGTATAATATTATTCAAAGGCAATTTAAATTTTGTATTAAATTTTTTTATAAATTATACCCGCTTATAAAACAATTATTAAAGCTTCAAGAAAAAAATTCCTAAAATTTTAGTATAAATTATGCTTCTTTTAATTCTAGTTACTAATCCTAATACAAATTATTTTAACTTGTATAAAGTATGATTAGTTTTTTTCTAATAAAAAACTTAATTTTTATAATAATTTTTACAAAGTATCACATGAATACAATATTAGTTAAACAGATAGATTTTCTATAAACATCTTATTTCTTAATTTTTTCTTTATTTTTTTATTTTTTATTTTCTTTATTTTATTTGATGTGACATTACACCTCCAATTTTAAGCTAACTAGATGACTGGCAAAATTAATTTTTATTCACAAAATCAACATAGCCTCGAAGGGTCATTTTCATAGCAAAAAATCCCAATTGATGATCATTGATTTTATCAAAATTTTTTGTTGATCAGCCAATAAAAATAAACTTCAACCTTGCTTCTCTCAATTAAATCTTTAACGCCTATATTATGTACGCCTCAAGACCCGCTTCCTTAAGAGCCGTCTCACGAATTGTCACATCGCGTATTTTTCGTCCTAAATTAGTCACAACGAGGGCTTTTAGTTATGTCAAACCACTTTATCAGCAAGAGGAAAACCAAAAACTTTCAGAGTATCAAAAGAAAAAAATCTTATTAAAAAAAAAGTTCGCTACCGAATTTGTTGCTAAAGTTACTGTAAACTTTTCGTTCCATTAACATGCTCACGTGTTTACGAGAAATGATATTTGTAGATATAATATGATACTATTGTTTCCATTAATTAAATAGCGTCCAGCTCCATTTTGGGAAGCCTTGGCCGTTGTTGGTGACGAAATTAAAATTCTTTCGCTGAATGACTTTGAAGATAAATTTTTGATAATGTTATTTTATCCATTGGACTTTACATTCGGTGAGTCAAATGTAATTCCACCAGTTCTGACATGTTATTTAATGATTACAAGACTAAAAAAAGAAAATCAATTAATTTTAGTATGCCCAACTGAATTGAACGCTTTCTCGTGAGTTTGGCATTAATTCTATTATAAAAAGTTAAATTAATTAACTGTTTAATGTTTTTTTTTTAAACATTTGATGTGATTAGTGATCGTGCACAAGAATTCAAAAATATTGGGGCTGAAGTAGTTGCAATTTCTTGTGATTCACAATTTTCTCATTTGGCTTGGAGGTTTGTAATTATTATTTTATTTATTAACTTGTATTATATAATAAACTTTTAAAAAATTCTTTCCAGCAAAATGCCGCGAGGTCAGGGTGGCATCGGCGGTATCAAGTATGTTATGTCTAATCCTACTTATAATTATTTCTATGCCATTCTTTATTAAAAAAGGTTCAATTTCTTTTGAATATTACAAAGGATTCCTCTGGGTAAGTCCATCACGTGACCATTGTTTACATTGATGATTTTTAACTTTCAATAAATGAAAATATTCAGTTGCTGATTATTCAAAGAAGATAAGTGAAGATTATGGTGTCTTGTATGAAGAAAAGGGCATTCCTTTTAGGTACATCGTTTCTTTCTATTTGATTTTGTTTAATTTTTATACTTTATCGTTTGCGTTAAAATCATTTAATACGTAGAGGAACTGTTATAATCGATGACAAGGTAATAAAGTTACATCATTAAACTTTTATACCTGTATTATTAATTTATCAACATCGTTATCTTATAGGGAACTGTCCGTGTAATTCATATTAATGATACCGAAATCGGTAAGGGGCACAAATGAAGTTAATAGTTAATAGGCTTATATATAATCCAATCAACTATTTAATAAATTTAATAGGCCGTTCGGTGGATGAGGTTCTTCGCTTAGTGCAAGCTATCCAATTCGCGAATGATTATGGGGAAGTTTGTCCAGGTACTTGATCTTAACTGCTATGGCTGTTGCAGAGCGAGAAGTTCACTTAGTAATACATTAACGTTTGTTCATAAAGCAAACTGGAAAAAGGGTGATGCAACCATCGTACCAGATCCAAAGAAATCCATGGCATATTTCTCCAAATTAAAAAACGAAAAATAAGTGATATATAGTATATAAAAAGGTAAGCATTGACAATACAATACTTTTTTTATTTATTTATTTGTTTATTTATTTATTTTGACTTCATTTCAAAGTAATCATTAATTTTAACATTTCTTCTCAATCATCTTACATAAGCGGTTAAATCCAAATCTGTAGGTTCAAATTCACATCCCACATATCTTGTAACATTTTAGTAACACTGTTCAAATCATTATTATTAATATATCCCATTAATAAGGGTTTATAAGCATTACTTAAATGTTTAATTTCATGGTGGAATTTTTCGCTTGTAAAAAATACCGGCTCTCATAATCCCCAATTAGAATATTATAAAATCCTATTGTCGGCCTACTTTAACATTTGATCAACATTTTGTAAATCGTTAAGCTTGAAAAATACATTTAACATGCAACCGTAAATTTGTGTATTTGGTCGAATGTTCGCTGATAGCATTTCTTCGTATGCTAATTTTGCAGCCGCATAGTCACCCATGATCAAGTACCAACACTTTCCAAATTTCCCTTTGTAAAATAACGTTCAATGAGAGTTGCCAGCGCTACGACGTCAGGCGCAATCTTTTGCATTCTCATATCATTTCATGTTTTTTATATAATAAACCTCTAATAAGAATATTAAATGTCGATGTACATGGTCGTACGTACGTTCACTGTATGCATTGCCGATATATGGATACTGCTTCATCAACTCTATTATTCCATAGTAAACCATTAATTATTCTATCGAATATTATTTCTGTCATTGGAATATTATCTTGTCGCATTTGTTCAAATATTCTTAGAGCTTCTTGATAATCTTTTGTCAAAAATATGCATCTATCATTGCACAATAAACGATTGAATCAGGTTTATATTTTCATGATACAACTGTTCCCATAAAACTTCAGCATCATGATACTTTTTCTTTCGAAACCTAACATGGTGCTATAGATTATCGAAGTCGGTTTATGACCTTTTTTCTTCATGTCATCCCATACTTGAACAGAATATGCATATTTATCATTCGCTAAGAAACCAGACAAGAATACATTATAAGTGTGATAATGTTTTTATAATACGTAAGCTTTTTACTAACATGCATAATTGACATTCTGTCAATATTAAGATCGGTGCAACCATTATAATTACGATGCACGTAAACTTAGTAACACGCCATATGATCCACGAAAAAACAAAGGATATTTTAAAGGCATTGTTATATGCGGGGGGTTGCTTATTTGAATAAACAATAATTCAGGGTCCTTTTTTATTTTTATTTTATGGGGAAGGAATTTACTTTTTTGGCGCAGTATTTTAAAGTAAAAATATTTTATTTGAATTTTATTACTCCTTTTTGCTTATTAAAAGAAGTGAATCAGAAATACATATACAAATAAATGTAAAAGAGAGTTTTTTTTTTTTTTTTATGTATACAATTGATAAAAATCATGTAAGAAAATCAAATGCAAATATGGAAAAGACAATCTTCTATTTAAATGTCATTATACAAAGAGTGTTGTTGAATGCTTGAGAAAAATTACAAATGATAAAAATGCATATGATAATGAAAATGCCGATGTTAAATACAAAGGGAATGAAAAATGTTTTAAAATACAGTCCTTCTGACTTCTCAACTCTTTAAGCGAATCCCGCCATCTTTACCACCCATCCTTTAAATCTAGCAATCACACCTTCATTTTGATCGGAAGCTGTCTCACTTTTAATTCCGTCAATAGTTTCCTTTTCATTTCGAAGTTGTTCGATTGCTTCGTTGATATCCTCTTCAGAAAAAGCATAGCCAAAAATTTGAGTGAAGGAGTCAGGGACAGAATAATCATCACAAGAGTCATTAGAAAAGAAATCATTTTTTGATTCTTCATCGCTGACTGCAAGAGTTTTTAAAGTTTCGCGAAGTGTTTTAATATCGGCAGACATTTTTAAAAGAAAAAGTTGAAGAGATAATGATTAACTATTTGTTTGTTAATAATGATTAATAAATATTAAAAATAACTTTTTCTTTCAATTGATGAAGATTGAGAAAAGGGTGGAAAACACGCCTATTTGTAAGAAATAGAAGTTGGACACAAGACCCATTGGTACGTATACAAATGATGGCTGTTCGACCAATTTAGCAATGCGTGAATCCATAAGCCAATTGGATAGTATTACAACATAAGTCATTGAGAATATCCGTCTTTGTCTCAATCAGAAAGAAAGAAAAAATTACTCCTGGATTTGCGGATCAGAATTTTTTTTCAATACAAGACGAAAATTCTCAAAAAAAAAAAAAAACTAGATTTCAAAGGCCAAGCTCAATTCAACCAAACTCAAAATTTCAACCAAATCCCAAAAGCCAAATTTCAGAAAGCATCAATTACAAACTTTTCATGTCGAAAAACCGATAGCTTATTTCAGTCCAGGTAATAATGGAACTTCCAGGAACAAGCGTGCGCCGGAGGATGCATGTACCCAGGAGTCGAAGTTAATATAGCTAAATAGGAAGTTCTTTGTCAAATTCTAACTTCTTTGTCAGGACCAAAACAACAGCCAGGATCGTAGTGTGGCAAGCTTGGGTTTTCCTTTTTTGAATGAAGTGGCGTCAATTTCGCCAGTTGATACGTATTCGATGAAACAATTTTAATTATTTACGTTTACCCGATATAGACGAGTTTGATTTACTATTTGTGCTTGACGTCTTGTACCATCATTATAAAGAAAATTCTACTTTTTACAACTCATTAATTTATGCAGATCATAGTCCTGAAGATTTAATAGTTGTATTGAAACTTAATAAGCGCATACGTTTCTGCAGAATACCGCTTGTATGTTTACTTCACTTTATTTTTTTCCTCTCTCTTTGCGTTCATTATAACAGAAGCACTGCATATGTAACAATCACACAAGAATTTTGAGCCTTTACATAGAATTTAAAATTTTTGCTTGATCTTTAATGCATAAAATTTTTAATTTATCTTTGTCGTTATCCGCTGTTTCAAACTAAATACTAAATTCTTTCTATCGAACTGTTTTTTACTACTCTTATTGCATCAACGTCAGATTTTCTGTTTGGCGTTCATTTTGTTTGGTTACAAAGTTTCACTATAAGTTGTACCGTGTTGTGTAACAGGACCATAAAAAAAGTTTGTTAACCCCATTCGCCGATCAGTATAGTATAGTTGGACCTCGATTTTGATTGGCTAAGAGCGACTATCAAAAAATTAACTCGCCAATTTTACCATAATGTGGACTTCTTTTTTAAAAAAATTCTATTTTTGTAAACAAATTTGTAATGCGGGCCAAAATTTTGAAAATTCGTGGCCATTAGCCAATCAAAATCGAGGATCTACTGCGCATTTTTCGTGTGGCACCTAGGTTCAATGTATGGTATAGGTAAGCAAATTAGTATAATAGGCCGATTTTCAAACCTATACTATGAATCAGGTATATATAAGCATGATTGTATAATTTTGCAGATCAGTATAGTATATTTTTTAAATTTTGGCCCAGGGTTTAATTTTTATATGTGCAAAAGTGTGTACACGTGTACAGATTCAATCAAATTGCTTTATTTAAAATTTTGATATGTTAAGCAAAATTTTGATTCAATAAAATCACAGGATTTTGTATAACAAACCAAATACAAAAAAAATTGCAAAAAATTGTAAATAACATGAAATTTTACTATACTAACTAACTTCTGATTTTTAAATAAAAGTTTTTGGTATAAAATTTTAATTATAAAAAGTATTTTATATATTAATTGATAAATTTTACTAAAACGCACCTATGGTGATTTTACACCATAGGTCTTGTTTCTCAAAAACATATTAAGTAAATGGGATTAGGTTCACTAAGTAAAAATGTTCAGGACCCCTAAAAACCTCACAAAAACTAAGATTGGGCCCTATTGGGCCCTTATAGTAGCTCTATAATATATTATATAAAAAAAAAAAAATTCTTAATTTCTTAATCTAATTCTAAATTTTATAAAAGAAATTATACATAAGTGTAAAACCATCATAGGTGCATTTTATAATAATTCTTAATTGATAATCCATTTGTCACCTGAAGAGGATCTGCAAAATTTTATAAGTAAAGTTTACTATTGACTCAAATGTGGCAGTGCTATTTTTAAAACTTTTTTTTTTACTAAGACAATTAAATCTTGTCAATTAATTAAAAGTTGTAGAGCTCATCAAGATGTATCTAATAGTGTAAAAGCATCAAAATCGGCCTAGTAGTTCTTGAGATATCTTTAAAAAATGTCTTGTACATATATAAAATTTCTTTAATTGATAATCTGCCAGTTAATCGGAGAATTTCCTTATTAAGATGTGACAGTAATCACTTATAACTTGAAGTCGAATTGAAATTTTTAAGGATAAGTAAAGTTCTAAAAATTTTTAAACAAATACGGTATTAAAGTAGTACAAATGATAAAAGAATACCATAAGCTTCAAATTATAAAATTATTAGATATCGATCTTTTTTTTTGAAGAACTTTACTCAGTAAGCATGCGACATTTATTAAGCTAAACTTTATATTAATTAGCTATCAAGGTAATTTGTAATATGTTGCTTTTGGCTTATTTTAAACAAATTTATTATTTTTTTTTATTTTTTTTTATTTTTTAGATTTTTAAACTTAAAAATAATGGCATATTGTTTCGGTATGTTTCCTACATTAGATCTTTAAAATATAATAGATCTTACCTTATAATAAAAAGCATTTGTGCAATATTTAAATTTTCTGAACTCGACAATTCAAGTAAGCAACTCGACCTTGGCACATCCAAGAATCGTTCATGCCTTAGATTAGTGGGTATATATATTTTTTTCTTTAGTTATTTGTTATACTATTCTTTTTTTCATTTTTACCAGTATTTATTCTCAGATTGTTTTTGAGTCTTTAATAAAAAGGCGAATATATACAACCAAGGATGAAAAAAAGGTATTTGAAATCTCTAAAGGTGATGATTCTCAAGAACAACGTGATCTTGAAAAAAAATATAGACATGTTCAAGGATGAAAAAGGGCTCCTGAGCGATATTTAAATAGGCAATGTTTTATATAATTTACATGAATTTGGAAATTAAACTATAATAAATAGCACTAGTCAATTTTTGTCTAATTAACTCATTTGCTAATTTCTTGTTTCTGAACTGGGCAACAACAAATCTTTTCACTATTACTATTGAAATAATTACTCGTTGGTTATATAAAATAGATCAGGAAGATAATGGTTTGTACTAATGGGAAAAATGGGTTAAACATATTGTTAAATCAGAGTTATAAGCATATACTCTTTTAAACAAAAAAATGAGTTGTTGTTACAGTAAAGACAAAGATGATAATGGTTCAAAGGTAAATTACATTATATTGTCGTTACTCTTTGCCTAAGTAGTCTTCTCTGTTCTCTTTGCAGATATAATTTGAATACAAATTTTTTTACACAAGGCTATAACAGGCTACAAAAACAAAAATTTAGTATCAAATAGCCAAACGAATGATTCTGCTATATACCTGGTAATGGAAACTCTTATGTTGAGTTAATATCAAGTTTACTTTCATTATTGTTAGGATTTTGTGTAGTAATTATAATAATTGAAAGATTTTAATGTGTAAAAGAATTCTGCTGTTAACTTAGGCAGAGAATGACGTATTCACATTACGATGCTGCGGCAAATCGTGATAGAGAACTCATATTCTGCTGTTAATAAGGAGTAGTACACACAAAGATGAATAAAAGGTATTTGAGTGGTAGAGATGTAAACCAAAATTTATTAGATCTAAATTTAATAGTAAATTCAATGAATTTACTATTAAATTTAGATTCAATAAATTATAGTTCATATCTCTATTAAGCGGTATTTGAAATCTGCTGAACCTGGTAATTCTATAATTTTGAATTATACTACGAAAGATATAGGCACACCCAAAGATAATAAACCTAGCAATTTAAGTAAATGATGTGATCTTGGTGCACTCAAAAAAAGAAAGGCATTTAGTGGTATCTGACTCTGATCATTCAAGTGGACAATATAATCTTGAATTCTAGGCATAGGTACATTCAAGAATAAAAAAAAGGTATTTGATTGGTATTTAAAATTTGTTGGGCTAGTAATTTAAGCAAACGGGGTGTAGTACACCAAGGATGAAAGAAAGGCATTTGAGTGATATATAAAATCTGCTAAACCCGGCAATTTCAGTAGAAAATGTAATTCTGGGGTCTGCTATGAATAAGGTGTAGGCGCACCAAAAGATGAAAAAAATATAATCACCCAAAGCTATCAAAATTTTAATACCAAGTTTTATTAGAGTTCGAGTAAAACATATAATTGTAGCGAGGAATAGCCTAATTATCTTCTACATTTTTGATATAGATATAGAGACTAATTCTGATTAGAAAAATTGTTCTAGCCAACAGATCAACTGGTCAACCGGCCCAAACTTTTAAGAATCGATCATGGCCTACAATTTTTCCATCGCCTATATCACTACTCTAAACTACTGTATCAAATATAGGTGCTGTTCAATAACAAAAAGAGAAATCTCTTTTAAATCTGGTTAAAATAACCAAATTTAAAAAGAGATTTCTCTCTTTTTTATTGAACAGCACCCACATATTGTTTAAAATTTTTATATTATATTTATATATACTGTATAAAACAATTCTATTAAGAAACAAGGTTAGGGTCCCATAGCCTAGTAGTCTAGACACCTAACTCTCTACAGACGAGGTCAATGGTTCAATTATAGCTGGTGGTAATTAATTGAATTAATTATCTCTGTAACCTATAGGGCTTTTGAATGCAGAACCCTGTAGTGGTAAGACTATGTAAAGTATATATTTGGCCGATAAAGAATTCTTGGAAGGAGTCTTGAGCCATAGAGAAGATCGAGCACTATGTGTGACATGGGGTCACAGAAGATAT